AATCAGTGAAAATGAAGAATTGTATATTTTTTTCTTTCAACTTTCCATGTGTAGTTCTTTATACTTCTTTTGATTGTACTGTCCATGGAAATTGCTGCTGGAGTGCTTGGTGCTGTTTACAAGAATCAGGTAAGTTTTGTTATGATACTATAATAGCTGTATGTTAGCAAACGCTGTAAACTATATTGTACCTTTTCCAGTCGAAGAACAGTACTACTTTATTTGAGTGCAATAAAATGAAATTATGTCCCATTTTGATAATGCTTTATGTGATCATTATGATATTTTAAGGCTAAAGATGATGTGAAAAAAGGACTTGATGATGCMRTTCACCACTACAATCACACTGGATATGGYATTGACAAGGCTTTGGACTTTCTCCAAAATAAGGTAAAACTAATGATTCTTGTGTATTGTATCTTGTTTTGTCCTAATTTCCTTAATTTCAACCTKGAATTTATTACTTCTCCACCTTCCTGTACTCCTTCCATTCACATTTCCTAGCAACCATCATTACATTTGTGTCTTATCTCTTCTTTCCTTCCTTSCCCTCTTCATTCCATTCCTCTTTCCTTTAAACCATACATCGGCAAACCATTCCTGCCTTCTTTCATTCATCCTATTTCTTATAGCTTGGCACTGCTTATTTTACTTGCTTCACCCCTGAAAACTCACTCATCATGCTGCTAAAGGATAATTTCCTTCGTTTAACTCACAGTACTCTTTGTTATATTTTCAGTTGAAGTGCTGTGGTGACARCAATTACACTGATTACCACACTTCTCCATACTTCAAAACACACAAGGAATATCCAGACTCTTGCTATCCAAMGGGTCCACACAATCCTTTTGCTGCTCCCCACAGAAAAGTAAGTTCAAACTAAGGGATATCAGTTAAACGACAACTTCAGGTTGTTACAAATAATACAAATAATTTACAAAAGAGATTCAATGAGAAATAATGTTGTGAAATACTTTTTGAATGCAGTATCTCAACCTAGTATGGTATTTGTAGGGATGCTATGAAAGCTTATTGTCGAAGTTYGATGACTATTTGACATACATCATTGGTATTGGCATTGGTTTTGCCATCCTTCAGGTAAMKTCAACAGAGTTTATTATTATTTTGATACTSTTATTAATATTATGTTTCCATTGTAGCTCTTTGGCATGGTTGCATCATGCTTTGTGATATGCAAGAGTGGAGAAGTGTCTTATTCCACGCTAAACGGAGGAACATTTGTTTGAACAGAACAGTGTACAGATATTTTGACTGCTAACACATAAAGATAAACCGTGCCAGCTTTTAGCGGCTCTAGATACTCTATATTAGAAAATGTTTATTAAGATATTTTTTCTAGTGATTCCCACAAGGGGCACAAAAATGCATGCATACTCTTTATGTATACATGGACTAAAATTTCCCTTTTTGGTAAAGATGATTTTCTAAATAAATATTCCAATACACGATAAGTAAAAGAAAAAAGGGAATCAAGATACCTCCCACCCCTCCTGCTCCACCTGCTGCAACCCCTGCTTATWAAGCATACAATGATAGGCGATGATAGGCGATAAAGGATGAATGAAATGGATGGGCAAAAAAAGAATGAAAAAAATGTAATTGCATTGAAAAGCAGTCAGGGAGAATTCTTATATTCAAGTCGGGATTCCAATGCTGATCTTGCGCTAAAATAACAGATTAAGTTAAAAAAAGGTTTTTAAAAGCTTGATTGATTGTTCATAATTCATGATTGCATTAGATTAATATGTACGATAGTGCAATTATTCATTAGCAAGTGTGAATCATGAACCTTGCCAAATGTACAATTATTTGTATAATAAAAGCTATTTGATCTGTTTGTACTCAAACGTTGTTCAATTCAAATGTTGGAACCAAGGAAATTAGAATACATTTACGTGTGCAGTGTTGTGTTCGAGTAAACATTTTGCTCGGGTTACCTGTGCCTTTCATCACAAAGTCCCGGATAAATAACACCTTCCACTGAAACTCGTTGACACGACTGACTGGACCGGAATCTTCCAGCAGGATGACTGCTTGCGAATGTTTAATGTTCTTTGTGAGCACTGTATACTTTGTAAGTATTATCTACCTCTAATCGTAGGAGGTTTACTCATTTAGTCGCTCGGTTGCGAACAAAACRGACGTATGCAGGGGCACAGAAGAGTGCTACTCATGCAACTTGATTGAAATCGCTTAAGTCTTTTAATAATATATATTTAGATTGGACTTTGCTTCATAAACATAAGACTTTAATATACTATTTCAATTGCAGGGTATATCAGCATTTTTTATCTATGTATCTCTCTGGCTGTTGAAAACTTTTCACGATATAAACTATAAGTTGGACAATCCACTGACTGATGCCGATATTATTTTGCTTTCCTTGTCGTCCTTCATGTTACTCTTGGGAATTTTTGGTTGCTTTACAACTTGTTACCAAAGTAAAAGTTGTATTATTCTGGTGAGTTTTTTTCAATTACATGTAATATGTTGTAGGGTTTTTTATAAAGCTGGTTTGATTGGTTACCATGACGTATAGTAAGAGTAGTCACGAGATCAGCTGTAAGTAAAGAATGCGATGAAAAATAACCAGTCGAGTACTTTTATCGACATCTTATTAGATCTAACGCAGAGTTTTAACTTGAACATTTTTTTT